CGGCCCACCATCCCTCCCAAGGCTGCAACTAGTATAGTCAGTGCTGGTCCCCACGTGAAGCCCCACCTGGGGCTGGATCTGCTGCCAAGCTCACCCATGGCCACTGGCACAATGCAGTTTCTTTTGGGCTCTTGTACAGGGTCTTGCCAGCATGGCAACTTGTCTCATCAGAGCCCGCAGAGGACAAGAGGCTTCCATTAAGATGGCGGGGGTGAGGCTGGGGATGTGGCTCAGGCGGTAATGCGCTTGCCTGGCATGTGGGGGCGGGGGGGGGGGGGGGGGGTTCGATCCTCAGCACCACATTAAAAAATGATAATAAAATAAAGATGTGGTGTCCACTGAAAACTGAAAAATAAATATTAAAAAATTCTCCCTCTAAAAAATTTTTCTCTTAAAAAAAAAAAAAAGAGATGGCAGGTGTGTGAGGGGACACCTTTCAGTGGTAGCCCAAGAGGCCACCTGGGCTCCATGTCCAGCAGCAGCAAGAGCAGGCACATTCTGCTGGCGACTTGGCCAAGTTCAAGCTTCAGCCTTTTCCTGTACTGTGACCACTCCCGCCTTTTCTAACTGTCTGCTCGAAGAGGCCTGGTTTGTGCCTTTGTCCAAGCTCTACAGCCTATAAACCCAGACTCAGAGATGGCAGTGGCTTCCAGTAGCTCTCATGCACTGAGCTGCACCCCTCCCATCTTTATTTTAGGACAGTGTTTTGTTAAGTTGCAAAGTCTGGCCTCCAATTTGTGATCCTCCTGCCTCATCCTCCTGAGTTGCTGGGATGACAGGTGTGCACACTGTACCTTCCTGGCCAGTTCCTTCCCAAGTATACACAGTAAATTGGTGTCACAGAAGATGGGAACAGGTGTATATGTGATTCTGGAACCATACTTTTATCAACTAAGCCACATCCCAGCTGTACAGCCATAATTTTAAAAGAACAAAACAAAGGAAAAATACTTATTTTCTGATAGGTAACATATTCAACCAGAATAATGAGACATGGTGAAGAAGGAGTCTACCAGCGACAGCCCAGAGGTCAGACCCTGCTGCTTGTTTCCTGAGGTGCTAAGAACCATGTTGATGTTTTTATATGATAGAAAAAAATCTCCATTGTTCCAATTTCAGTATTTTGCCACAGTGAGCACTACAAAATGAAAAGTAGAATATTTCCTCATGGGCAGAAGTTACGTGATTTTTTTTAAAACTTCCTGTGCTTTTAAGTAAAATTTTATTGGCACACAGCCACAACCATCACCTACACATCTTGTGGGTGCTTTTCTACTCAAAAGTTCACAGTGTAGTATTTGCTATCTGAGCTGGGTGTGGCTCAGGGTGGAGCCCTTGCCTAGGATGCACAAGGCCCTGGGTCCCACCCCAGTCACCCCCACTGCTGTTTCTGCAGAGGTCTGCAGTGCTGTCTACCACGGCAAGCACCCTGCTGTGCAGGCTCTGAGCTGCACCCAGGGTCCCAGCCATGAGCCATGAGCAGGGCAGGCCCACACCACCTCCCTGGGAGTTCATCATCTACTGGGCTGGACGATTAACAATGAGCCAACACCACAGCTGGGGTTGCCACCGTACAGTGAAGAACAAAGTCCCCAGGGTCCCTGTCCCACACCCAGATAGCTGTTTTATCAGGCAACATTCACGTTGCTTTGCCTTTCTGTGTATGTAGTGTAGATTATATAATTATAATCATATATAATAGTATGATAGTACTTAACACTATATATAATGCTATCATATGTAATAAAGAGGTCAGACAGGCGTTAGCTATAGTTGATGGCTGGAAATGCTCAGGGCAACACTCTTCACAATGCCTGGAAATGCCTGGGGTGGAGGGAACAGGCTCTTTTACTGTTTTTTTCTTCTGGTGGAAACAACCCAAACGTCCATCAACCAATGAATGGATATACACAGTGTGTCTGAATATTATTCAGCCATGAAAAGGACACTTGCTACAATGTGGATGGACAATGAGGACCTTGTGCTTAGTGAGAGCCAGACACAAAAGACTACACACTGCAGGACTCACAGGAAATCTGTAGTCATAAGATCCAGAGACAGCAAGTAGCATGTGGGTGCCAGGGGCCAAGCTGGGTGTGGTGGCACATGCCTGTCATCCCAGCCACTTGGAAGGCTGAGGCAGGTGAATCACAAGTTCAAAGCCAGCCTCAGCAACTTAGTGAAACTGTCCCAAAATAAAAAGGGCTGAGTATGCAGCTCAGTGGTGGAATCCCTGGTGTCAATCCCCAGTAACACAAAAGGCAGGGGAGAGGGAGAAGTGTATATTTTGGCATGCCCATTCTCACATTGAAAGTAAATTCAGAGAAGTGTCAAAACACCTATTTTGTTGCTGTATCTGCCCTGGGGTGGGAGGGAGGAAATGCCTGGGGAGGAGGGAACAGGCTCTTCTACTAGTTTTTTCTTCTGCACCCAGGAGATTGAACCAGGCCTCATTCAGCAAAGCAGAGCTGCCCTTGGGCCACTTCCCAGCTCTCTGCTTCATTTAAAAAAAAAAAAAAAATCTTKAAGTAAACGTGGCAAAAACCTAATGTTTTCATTTCAGTGGCAAATACATGGCTGTTATTCATCCCTCATAGGTGTCTGTATATTTTAAAATATACTATTTTAAGCAGTTTGTGCCTGGCTTCCTCCTTTCAACCACATCCTGTGCACTGTATCTGCTTGCCCCTGTCACTGAGGGATGGACATGTGGACTGTGGGCATCCTGGGCCATCTCTGTCTACACACTTAGCTAGCGTCTGAGGAGCAGATTCCCTGATGTAGAGCTGTCCAGCCTCTGCAGTTTGGAAGGCCAAGCCAGCCTGCCATCAGTTCCTGCTCCCCCTGGCAGCCATCCCCAGCCCAGCCCAATCCCAGGAACTAGCCTTCCCTACACCTACCTCACACCCTCAATGAGAGTCTGATCACTTTCAAAACTGCGCGATGGTGCGCGCCTGTCATCCCAGCGCCTCGGGAGGCTGAGACAGAAGAAGAGTGAGTTCAAAGCCAGCCTCAGCAAAAGCGAGGTGAGAGGGTCTCTAAATAACGTACAAAATAAAAATAGGGCTGGGATGTGGCTCAGTGGTTGAGTGCCCCTGAGTTCAATCCCTGGTACCAAACAAACAAAAAACCTGTTAACTAATTTTAACTTCCAAAATGTTACAGTGCAGTATAACCCTTGAGAGGTTATAGTCCCAGCCACCTGGGACTGCTTGTCCCTTCTGCTGGGTCTGTTTCCCGGTGGCTGAGAACCAATGATAGTCACTTCCTCCAGAGCGTGCTGAGAGCAACATGTTTTGCTAGCAGTAAGGGGGGCTACAGGAGGTGTCCCACACCCCCTATACTGGCGATGGAACCCAGGTTATCAATGGGGATAAAAGCTATGGGGAAAATCACAAGGCAGCAGCACATAGTACCATGTGACAAATCAATACAGATGGACTATCCATCTATCCGTGTAGACTGGTGTTTCTCCACCTCCTGTTGACAAGGTGGGGGGGTGTCGTTCTCTGTGGTGGCGCGATCCTGTGCGTTGTAGGGTGTGGAGCAGCACCTCTGGTCTTCACCCTCTTGAGGTTTGTAGTACTCCCTGCAACTTGTGACAAAGAAACTGAATCTTCATTCACTGCCAAGTGTCCCCCAGGGGGACAAAATCGCCCTGTTTCGAAGAATCATTAGTAGACAATCCACAGAACTAAAGTACTATCTCGCGGGGTGGATACTATTTTTTCACAATTGTCGAATTGGCTTTTGCTTTAATCCCAATCAGACCCATAAGTGATCTTGGGCAAGTGACTCAGCCTCTGTGCCACTCAGTACCCTCTTCTGCGAAACAGGGACATGAAGAGGATCCATGGCCCAGGACGAGAGAGCCGTGTACCGCCAAAGGACCGCGAGTCGGGGCTTTATCCACAGCGGTCAACACGCGCGCACGGGAATCGCCAGCCGACTTAGAGGAAGCTGCAACTGCGCCTGCGCGCGCCGCCGCACACGCGCACGTACGCACGTGGCTCGGCCTGCGCGCCCTCTCCTGGAGGCGGGGCCAACGCGAGGACTCTCTTTCCCAGCGTGCTCCGCGGCTACCCAGGAGCCGCAGAAGAGGAAGTGTGACGAGCGTCGACTAAGACTGCGCCGGCGCAGGCCCTCGTGCGGCCCGCACGCACGCGCGGCGCACCCCTGGCCCCGCCCTCGGAGGCCCCGTGCGGGAGCGCGCCCGGGCGTGCGCAGGGCGGCGGCGCGGCGGCGCGGGGACGCGCGGTGACCGTTGGCGCTGAGGGGAGGAGGCAGTAGCCGCCGCCGCCGCCGCCGCCGCCGCCGTTGCGCAGATCCGGGCCGCGGCTGTGGGGAGGGCGACGGAGCGGGTGACCTTCCGGAGGCGGGAGCGAGCCAGGAGGCCCGGGGACGCCGAGCGCCGCCGCCGCCATGAACAACTCGGGAGCCGACGAGATCGGGTGAGGACGGGCGGGCCAGCCTGCGCCGCCGCCCCGGGCCCGCGCCCCCGCCCCGCCGCCGGCCCCGAGACGCCGCCCCCGGGGCGGGCCGGGCGGGGGGCCGGCCCGTCAAGGTCACGCCGGCCGGGGGGCGGACGCGGGCGCGGGCTGCCCGGCGCCGGGGGCCGCAGGCCGGGGCGGAGCCGGCGTGCGGGCGCCTCGAGGGGGCCCGGGGGACGGGCGGACGTCCCGGGCGCGCCCGCCGCGCCTCGTCGGCGTTTCGGCCGGGGGGACCCTACGCGGTGCCTTGAGGGGCTCGGGTGTCCCCGGCCCGCGCCGGAACTGGGGTCGGCGCACATGGCGGGGAGGCCTGGGCGCCGCGGGGCGGGCTCGGCCGGGGCGGCGTGAGGCGCCGGACCCCGGCCTCGGGCGGAGCGCCTGGGCTCGCCGCGGCCGCCCTGCTGAGGCGCCCGCCGGCTTCGGCCTGGTCGCGTGGCCAGTGCCGCCGGGAGCCGGGAGGGGGCCGCCGCGGAGGCTCCTCGCGGCCGGCCCCGAGGCTGCCGATGGATGGCCGCGCCGAGGCCGCGGCCCGCAGCGGCTGGCAGCCGGGAGCCCGCGGAGTACGGAGGGACCTCGGGGACTTGGGACCTCGGCCTGGTTCCCTCCCCACGCGTGGTCGGGACTTGGGAGGGGTGTGCGTGTCACCCAGCTCCGCGGGCCTTGGAGCCGCGTCGCAGCCCTGAACTTGGAAGTCGCCGAGAACCGGGAATTTCTGCTGCTCTGCAGGAGGGCTCGGTTGCCAGGGTCCGCCCGGCGCTTAGCGACCCCGGTGTGCGGCCTAGGGAGGCTCCTGCTGCCGACTGGGGGCGAAGGTGGCAGTGCCACGCTCAGGGTGAAGCAGGTCTGGCTTTTTAAGCAGGTGGCAGGGTGTATCCGAAGTGTCCAGTGACATGCACTTCCCTCAGAACTCACCCCTGCTGTGGCCTCCAGGCCCCTGAGGTGGGGTGGACAGGAGCCACTCATGTCGCTCTGACATGCATGCTTCTGGCCTGAGACTTGGCAGTGCCCCTCGGCAGGGGTTGGCCTCAGGACCCCGTCCCCTCGTGTGCTCACACCTGGGATCGCTGTCTGGGAAGGCTGGCAAGGGATCATCCTTCTGTCAGTTCCACTTTCGTGGATTGAGCCCAGAGGTGTTCTGCCAGTGAGCCACATCCGCGGACTGGGTCTCCCCAAGACAGGGCCTTGCTAAGTTGCCTGGCTGCCTTCCAACTTGAGATCCTCCTGCCTTGACCTCCCTGGGATTACGGGTTTGAGTCTTTGAAGGAAGAGGTTAGTTTGTCTGTGAGCAGCCTGGTGCAGTAGAAGTAGAGTGAGGCACCCAGAGTTTACTTAGYGTTGTCTGCATCCTGATTCTCACAGCCTAAGGACTGGCTCCTGCAGCAGGAAGGAGTGAGGAGTTTCATGTGGGCCACTCCCCATCCCTTCCTAGAGGTGCTGAAGTGCCATGCTTCTGAGGCCTGAGCACCAAGTGGGGGAGTGTGAAGCTAAGAAGCCTGGGTGGGAAGGTCTGAGCCTAGGATGCCCTGCTCTGCCTGGCTCTGGGAAGTCATCCTAGCCTTGGTTTAGGTCCCTCCCATTAAAATTCTGAAACACAGGATTACAAGGAGCATTGTTTTCTAGAGTCTCATCATGAGTGGCTGATGGGTGACTGGTGTCTGATCATTGTTCCCAGGTATTGGGGAGGCCCATGCCTACATTGCAGGTGGACAAAAAGGTTTTGAATTGTCACCTCAGGTGCACAGACCACTTAGTCCTGCCAACCTTCAAAGTGACAGACTGTCATGAAACTGGAGGGAAGGAAGTTGTGGAAGATTTTATGTCATGTGTTTGTCACTATCTGAACTACTCAGAATCACAAGAAAGGGACACTGGAGACCTTTGAAGAAAGAGTCACAGAGGAAGGAAAGTCACAGATAGTGTAAAAGACCTTGGAATTTGGTGTGGGTACACTGGCCTGCTAGGCTGCAGCTGGACAGGGAGGATGGGCAGCTGCTGAAGCTGGGTGTTAAGGAGGGTCTCTGAGTCTGTTTTGTGCTGCTATGACAGAGTTTCTGAGACTTGGCAGTTGATAAAGAACAAAGTTTGATTTCTTCCAGTTCTAGAGGCTGAAAGTTTTAGATTAAGGGCCCATGATGAGTGAGGGCCTTCATGTGGTATCATGTGTGACAGAGGCACATGGGAGAGAGGGGAGGGACTGAACTTATCCTTTAGGTCAGACTCAATCCTGTGCTAAGGGTTGGGAATCCAGTCAGGACGGCTCTGTCCTGGGATGCAGAACCATCCTGAAGGGTCCCACCTCTCAGCTCTTGCACTAGGGATCACCTGTCTAATTTTAGTGACTTTGGGGGATGCACTCTAACCACAGCAGAAGCAGTGCTGCTGTGGAGTGGTCCACACACAAAGGGCTTGGGTTCTTCTGAAATAATTTATTGGAATGGCTTTGGAAAGTAGACACCCAAGAGTTGTGCTCCCAACTGGACCCAGTGCTTGCTCCCTGTGAGCAAGAGCAGGACAGGTTGAATCAGAGGAAGCCATGATTTGAAAAGGAGGCTGTTCTTCGAATGTTTAGAATCTAGTGTGTGGGGAGCACAGACAGCCCTTTAGGGGCTTTTCTTACATGTTAGAAGTTACTCTGAGGAAGGTTTCCCCCTGGGTATTGTGGGGTGTCCAGGGCACTGCAGAGTGCTGAGGAGCATCTCTGGCACCCATTCCTTGTTGGAACAACCACACATGTCCCAATGTAGGGCCCAGTGTCTCCTGGGGACAGAATTGCTCAAAGTGAGAGCCCACAGTTGGGGATTATCTTAATGCTTCCTGCATTTTGAAGTCATCCCTGCAAGCAGCGACTCTGCTGACCTTCTCTATTGCTCTAGCTTTTTTTGGGGGGTGGGGGGTGTTGCCAGAGTAAGCACAGTCTTACTCCTTGTAGCCTGATTCCAGTGTGTGCCTTCATTTGTTCTGTGTGGATTTAGGACTAATTTCCTGTGTTGGGCTGGTCTAAGTCCTGCAAAATTGGCCACAAATTTGGAATGTGTTTTTAACTTGCATTTGATTTCAGAGGTTTAGTAGGCCATCTGCAGAGCTAGCGCTGTCACCCCTGACGAGGGCTAGTAACTCCGTGCTCTCCACACCTCCTGGGAACACAGTGGTCTTGATGCTAACCCTTCCTTTTGCCAGAGAGATTGAAGCTCATGAGGTGTGGGAATTTGGCTTAGGGTCACCCAGGGAATGGACTGGCCAGATGGGGAGTCCCAGGCCCTTCCACTGTCCTGGTGGCACAGAGAATGCATGTGGGCTGGGCCCCACTGTTCTCCCATGTTGCAACTTTGTTGTCTCTGTGTGTAAGACCTTTTGTCCCGGGCAGGCCCAGTCCTGTGGCACAACTGTTCCTTTGGAAGGTGCTACAAGCAGTTGTGCCACTTTACCATGTCATTCACTATAATTGATGTGAATGGTGCTTTAGGCAGGAGGCCACCTCCTTGACAAGTACTTTGCTTTAGTCTTTTTTTTTTGGCAGTGCGAAGGATGAACCCAGGGCCTTGGACATGCTAGGCAATCACTACCTCTGAGCACCATCACAGTCACATCCCAGCCCTTAACAAACATGCTTATTGACTTTGTTTGGATCAGGAGGATCCTGGAATGTCTGGGAAGGTGGGACACAAATGATCTTGAGGGATAGGGTGTGGATGTCACCAATAAACTGGGGATGAGGGCATGTAGAGGCTGTTCATGAGCAGCATGTCACTGCCTGTGAAGTTGTGGGGCTTCTCCTGTGTCACGTTCCCTGCTGTCAAGGGGAGGAGCTGAACTGGGAATGGACCACAGGCTCACAATTCACATGGGGACTGTGATGTGGGTTCCCATCTGGCCCTTGTGGTTTCCCAAGGTTGGGCAGGAATGTATGCCTTTTCAGGGTCTGCGTCCTTCCCTTTAGGAGAATAAGGACCCAAGGTGATTGTGGAGGTCATGGTTTAAGGGAAGACAAAACTCCTGGAGATTAGGCCTAGGAGGCCCTCATCTGAAGAAGCTAGAAATTCCACACATAGGCTCTGTTTGTTTATGGTTTTTTTTTTTTTTTTTTTTTGGTGGGGAGGGGTACCTGGGATTGAACTCAGGGGCACTCAACCACTGAGCCACATCCCAAGTCTTTTTTTTTTTTTTTTTTTTTTTTTAAGAGAGAGTGAGAGAGGAGAGAGAGAGAGAGAGAGAGAGAGAGAGAATTTTTATTATTTATTTTTTAGTTCTCGGCGGACACAACGTCTTTGTTGGTATGTGGTGCTGAGGATCGAACTCGGGCCTCACGCATGCCAGGCGAGCGCTATACCGCTTGAGCCACATCCCCAGCCCCACATCCCCAGTCTTATTTTGTATTTTATTTAGAGACAGGGTCTCATTGAGTTGCTTAGTGCCTCGCTATTGCTGAGGCTGGCTTTGAACTTGCGATCCTCCTGCCTCAGCCTCCCCAGCCGCTGGGGCTGGACTTACAGGTGTGTGCCACCACTCCTGGCTTGTTTGTTCTTGAGAAGAAAAAGTCCTCATTACAAACAGTCGAGATTGGTCCTGGCCTTCTTCTTCTTGCCCTGTGAACTAAGTCCAAGAAGAACCAGTGACTGTGACGGAGACTGGGCCAGTCAAGTCAGTTGATGGCTCAAATGCCCTGCTTGAGGTCATCTGCCTGCTGACTGCTACCTGTGAGGCTGCTTGCTGGATCCTGAAGCCCGCCAGAAGGCCATAGCACTCTGTGGTTATCCAGGACCAGGGGAAGCCCTTTGAGATTTATTTTCTGGCATAAATACCTTGTGGTTGCCCTAAAGCACATAGCAGAAGCTGAGAAGTCCTCCTCAGACAGGTTTTTGTTTTAGCAGGCAGGCCACTTCTGCAGAGCCCCTTCCAGATTGAAGCCATCTGCAGACTTGGGCTAACACTCAACGTTGAGCATGCACAGAGCCAGTGGGATTTGGGACCTTAGGCTTTTTTTTTTTTTTTTTTTTTTTTTTAAATGGGGCTGGGGATGGAACCCAGGGCCTTGTGCATGCAAGGCAAGCACTCTACCAACTGAGCTATATCCCCAGCCCAGCTGGTGGGCTTTGGACTGGATCTGAACCTGGGTACGATGCTTGCATGTCACAGAATACATTGGTTTGGACAAGTGGAACTGGCAGTCCTCCTGGCTCTGGGCCACATGAGAAGCCATATGAGAGGTGCCATTGTTGGGTAATGACCCCTACCCATGAGCCCTGCAGAGACAGAGCCTGGGAGCAGAGCTTTGTGCTAATCCTTTATTTCACACCTTCTAGCCACACTGTGCTGGGGGAGGCATAGTGTGAGCAAGCTGGGCACAGAAGCACCTGGGCTACCGATTAATGCAAAGAAGTGTCTTGGCCCCTAAGTGAGCTGATCCTGGTTAAGAGAACCTTCTGAGTCTTTGCCTTGAACTCCTCTTGGCTTCTTGCTCACTCCTGGTGGGTTGGCTGCCAGGGGCTTTCTTATTTTATTGATTGAAAAAAAGGGGGGAAAAAAAAAAAAAAAACCAAGGTTCAGAGTTTAGGACTTTGTGCCAGATTCCTAGAGCTGACCCCTGTAACTGAGGAGATGCGGCCTTCTTCCTGGGACCTTCTAGAACCTTCCCCCTGTTGACTGGGGGAATGTGTCCCCTTACCTGCTGTCCCCTTCCAAGCAGGAGTAAAGGAAAGAAACACACAAGGTTTTCACACACAGGCGAATTTTCTTCCCCTCAGCAAGTAGCGTAGAGTGCTTACTGTCTGTCAGATTTCATGAGTGATGAGACTGTTTCAGAAAAAACTTAAATTACATCATTTCCTCAGTAATGAAAGTTTTCCTAACTTGTAATTGTATATCACTTCAGGCTTACAGAGAAATTACCAACATAGTAACAAAAATTCCCATGATGTACTCTGCCCAGCCACTGGCTAGCAATGGCTCCATATCTGCACATGATAGTTTTGCTGTAGTCTCCCCCTAACACTGTTGTTTTGTTTTTTTTTTTTGTTTGTTTTTTAATATTTTGAGAGTAAGCCAGAGACCTGATTCTTCTTTCTGTGGACACCACGAGGTGTCCTGTTTCCCAAAGTAGAGTGCCATCTTGAGGCACATTTATGTGATCTGCAGGTTCTATTCCGGTTGTGTCAGCTGTGATGATAATGGCCTGTCTAGCCTTTCACCCTTAATACCTAAGTTTTGGATTTGGAATTTAAATGAGGCTTAGAGCTTAAACTAGTCTGGCCAATGCAGGGCTTGCTTATTGGCACTTTGAAAATGGTGGTTTGGGGCTGGGGTTGTAGCTCAGTGGTAGAGCGCTCGCCTAGCACATGCAAGGCCCTGGGTTCGATCCTCAGCACCACATATAAAAAATAAAGGTATTGTTCCTAACTACAACTGAAAATAAATAAATATTTTTTAAATAAAGAAAATGGTGGTTTGTACCTTTCTGGTGGTAGGGTTGGGCTCAGTGGTAGAGTGCTTGCCTAGCATGCGTGAGCGCCCCCCCCCGCATCACATGAAAATAAACAAATAAAGGTATAAAAAAGGAAAAGTATTAGGGGTATAGTTAGTGGTTCAACCCCCAGTACTAGAGTGCCAAGGTGGGGGGGTTGAGAAGAGCCCAGTGTAGTATGATGGTCTGGCATTTTTAGTGATGCCCAAAGATTTCTTGTGTCTCAGGTGGTGACCCTAAGCCTGAAGGGTGCTCTGGTCTCTGAAGATGGTCTTGTTGGGAGGGTGATGATGGGGTTGGCACAGCTGAGGCTCAGATGAAGGACCTGATGAGTGTGTGTTCCTTTTCCTGATGTAATGGGCAGGACATGCAAGCTATAGCTGGTTCACCTGGCCTGCCCCCTGAGTTTGGCGGAATCTTTAGGCCCCATAGGCAGGTGAGCTCTGAGGCCCCTTGTGTGTCTCAGCTGTGCCCAGTGGGTGCTCTGGGCAACAGAAGATAAGCACAGCCTTGGCTCCACCCAGGCCTTCAGGGCATTTGCCCCTGGCTGCTTCTGTTCAACCTGGGTCCTACCAGACCCTTGAGAACTGGGAAAGCTGAGACCTTGGAGATGGGATTCTTCATGAAAGCCCCCTTCATCTATCCAAAAAGGCTGCCTTGAGGTGGGGATGTGGGTATAGGGCTCCAGCACGGAATCCACACCCTCAACTGTAATTCAGAGGCTTGGTGGGACAAATATCTTACGTGTCAGTTTCTTTTCCAGTTAAAATCACCTGTAATTCCAGAGGCTTGGGGATGCTGAGGCAGGAGGATTGCGAGTTCAAAGCCAGCCTCTGCAGTGGCGAGACACTAAGCAACTCAGTGAGACCCTGACTCTACATAAAATACAAAATAGGGTTGGGGATGTGGCTCAGTGGTCTAGTGCCCCTGAGTTCAATCCCTAGTTACCCCCCCCCMAAAAAAATCAAATCTAGATTCCTTAATTCCTTTTCCTGATTATAAAATATTTGCAGATGCTGGAATTTCTAAGCCCCACTTGGAAGTAGCATGATTTCATGTAGTCAGTGGGTTCTTTGACACACCTATGTTACAAGTTGGAATCATTGCTCATGTCTGAACAGTGTGGACAAAGCTGTAGCTATGTATGCTCCAGAGGGGACATAGATGAGCCCATTTGCAATACTCCTTGTTTGAATTACATTCTTGGCATGGTGGGATGGGAACAATCCTGAGCTGAGAGTCAAGTTGATCCTGAACATTTTCTGTTGAATTGCAGGAAGCTCTTTGTGGGCGGCCTTGACTGGAGCACGACCCAAGGTAGGTGCTGCAGACTATGAGGCTCCCTGACCTCATCTCTTGCTACTGCCTGGGATTTGTTGAAGTCCTTGGACATTGTCTGGGTTTCTGGGCAGGAGACATTTGACTGGGAGCTGTCTAGGGGCAGAGATAGTGGTGTTCCCTTTGAATCTGTTAAATTGGTCTTGATCTTTTTGGTCAGAGCCACAGGAAGACTGTGGCCCACAGTTGCAAGCCACAAGAAGGTTGTGGAGTCAGAACTATTCACTGTGGGGTAGAGGTCTAGGGTTTTGCTAGGGCAGTCACTGTGTTCAGAATCTAGTCAGCATTCCTGGGTTGCTGGTTGTCACTTAAATGTTGTCATGTTTGCATCCCCTTAAGCTTTGCTCTCTTATTCCTATGAAGCAGAACAGAGCTATCTGCTATTACTATGGTCATTTGTCCCTTTTCTAATTTATGAGGATGTAATGCATCTGTCGTGCAGAATTTCCCTTGCCCATCTCCATGTACCTCTTCTGGGCCCTCTTCCTCCCCTCAGCAGTTAGTTGCTAAGCCAGTTCATGTGTTGCTCATCCCAGACTTGTTCAGGTAAGGCCGATGAACTGGAAGGGAGCAAGTGAGTGTGCATGTGCACCCTCCAACCGTTAGATGTGTTTGCTTAATGCCCTGGTTTGTGTGTGTTTGTGTTTTTGTTCCCAATCTCTGAGCAGAGACTCTGCGCAGCTACTTTTCCCAATATGGAGAAGTTGTTGACTGTGTTATCATGAAAGATAAAACAACCAACCAGTCTCGTGGTTTTGGATTTGTCAAATTTAAAGACCCAAACTGTGTGGGGACAGTGCTGGCCAGCAGACCACACACCCTGGACGGCCGGAATGTAAGTGTCTTCTCATTCTTTCCTGCCCTGTCTTTTGTTTGCCATTCCTTCAGCTTAACTCTGTGACTGAACTTTGACTGATGTTTATTTTAGAGTCTTTTAATGTGGGCTGGATTTAAAGGGGTTGGACCTTGGTATTTGGACTAGCTGTTGGAGGATTGGGCCAATTGGGTGGCCTGCGTGGGCCAGTGTGCCGTGAAGCTGGCTGCTGTTGGAAACAACTTCTTTTCTAGAGAAAGTAGCCTGTGTTCACAATGGGCTGGTTTGTAACTCCCTACAGATCGACCCGAAGCCATGCACTCCTCGGGGAATGCAGCCAGAGCGAACACGGCCAAAGGAAGGATGGGTAAGAGGCTGGGGTTGGGAAGCCTCCTTGTGAATGGTTTTTGTTTTTTTTTTAAACTGGGAGTTGAACCCAGGCATGCTTTGCCACTGAGCTGCACCCATAGGCATTTTTATTTTATTTTGAGACAGGGTCTTGCAAAGTTGCTTTAGGGCCTTACTAAGTTGCTGAGACTGACCTTGAACCTGCARCCCTCCTGCCTTAGCCTCCCGAGTCACTGGGATTGCAGCGTGTCCCTCAGCGCCTGGCCTCCTTGTGTGTACTTTGGGCAGATTTAAAGGGAAAATATGTTTTCCTCTGGTGGTGTTGCTCATTAAGCAGGAGAGCAGTAGAGGTCTTCTAGATGACCCTGGAGCAATTGATAATTTCCCAGTTTTAGCCTGTACTGCATTTTATCTTGTAACCAAGAAAATTCTAAATGGTCTTAAGTGATCATGGGTAAGGGAGGATGGTGGTCAACTGAACTTAAAACCCCATCCTGTGGTGAAGAGTTTCTCATGAACTGTGGTCCCTGTTGCTCAGGTACAGTTATCATCCTCGAGTGGTGTTTAGTTGTTTTTGGGTTTTGCCAGCATACATACTGCCTTTGCCTGGCCCAGCAGTTGCATCACTAGAACTTCATGGGGCAATGCAGATGGAGAGCACTCCTGTCTTTATAGAGAGTTCTGGATAGCACTGAGCTGACCCCTCCAGGTGCCCCTGGTCAGAGGGCTGGGTGGAGCCTGAGAATCTGCTTTTCTAGCAGTATTCTAGCTGCTATGGAGGATGAGACCTTAGACCCTTGCAAAATTTTTTTTTCCAAAGTTATATTTCAAATTTTTTAAGTACAGGAAAATTGGAAGACTAGTACAGTGAATATCTAAATATCCCACTAGATTCATCAGCTGTTAAATTTTGCCAAATATTTATGTGTATTTATGGCTATGTCTGACTACATGTATCCCTCCTAACTAGTGGTGTGTCCTCCTAAAGTCAGATCCCCCACCCTCACCGTTGCCACACCTAAGGATGTCGTGTGTCTGGTCTGTACTCCTGTTTCCAGAATTGCTTCACAAATGTCTCTTGTCTCCTGAAGTCCAATCAAGGGTTATGTTCTGTCTGGTTATTAGTTAAGTCTTTTTTTWAAAACATAATACTTTATTCTATTTATTTATTTTTATGTGGTGCTGAGGATTGAACCCAGTGCCTCACACTTGCTAAGTGAGTGCTTTACCACTGAGCCCTAGTTAAGACATTTTAGTCTCTTAGCCATTTTATAAGATGTATCAGGCATGTAATAAACTGCGTAACTTGATGACTTGACTGACCTGTGCACCCATGAAACTATCACCCATCATGGCAGTGAACTCTCATTCCCCAAAGTCTGGTCTCTTAATCCAAAGCAGTTGGGGCAACATAAAACATGATGTCCTTGGATAGGGAAAGGAAGTCGGGATTGGAAACAGAGGGGCAGGAAGAAGGAGCAGATATCTTGCAGTTGCTTCTCAGCTGACTTATCTATGATCCTCAAAGCTGCCTTCTCCTCACTCCTTCAAAATCTCTAGCTTTGCATTGCAGAGCTGTGGGAGTTTTCGAGACAAGGTCTCACTATATTACCCAGGCTGGTCTTGAACTCCTCAGCTCGAGCCACCCTCCTGCCTCTGTCTAGCGCGGACAACAAGCATGCACCATCAAGTCGGGCTTGCAGAGTTTTTAATGGTTGTGGCTGTTGTCGTTTAGAATAGCTGAGGTGGGACGTAACGTGTGCTGTGTTCACACTTACCTGAAATACAGCCTTACAGAAATGCCATGACTATTGTCTCCATGTATGTCCAGAGAAGTGGGTCATCTCAGCTCAATTTTTTGTGTTCTTTTTTTTTTAACCTTTATTTATTTAGTTTTACGTGGTGCTGAGGATTAAACCCGGAGCCTTGCTCATGCTAGGCAAGCACTCCACCACTGAGCCCCAGTCCCAGCCCCAGTGTTTTGTGTTCTTTTGACTCTTTGGATTTTTAGAGTGTGTTTGGTCTGGCTTTCAGCTGACTCTTAGGACAGATGCAAAGATGATGTCACACCTAACTAATGGGAAGTGTTTGAAGTCCTACCACAAACTAATCCCCTTTTCCTCCTCAACACAGCAGAAAGGACCCCGGAGCGATAACAGTAAATCAAACAAGATCTTCGTTGGTGGAATTCCTCACAACTGTGGTGAGACAGAGCTCAGGGAATACTTCAAGAAATTTGGAGTGGTAAGTTCCTTGTGCCTCAGTGTGCTGGCTGGTCCCAGCAGGTGCTTCCCATCCTTGGCCTCCTTAAAGTTGGAGGATCTGCTGCACATTCCCATGTCCTCCATCCCCCCCCCCCCCCCCCCCCCCCCCGAAAAAAAAAAAAAAAAAAAAACAAGACCCAGCCTTTCTCTTTATGATCATTTGAGATCCAGCAGAATGTTCCTGTGACTTTTCCAGCAAGTGCTAAATTAGACGGACTTCACGATTGCCCTTCTGATTGTCTTGTGACCATCATGGTTTGAAGCATCAGATAATGGTAGTGAAGAGGATGGTGTTTGGCTTGGCTGTGGAGCCAGCTGTGCCCAAGAAGTCATGCTGCCCCTTGGTTGCTGGAGGGATGGCCCTAGACCAGGTCCACACTGAGGTTAGCATCTTCCCCTCCCCGAGGCCCAAGACCAGGTGCCCGTGAGGAAGCAGCTTTCAGGTACAGTGGGCTGGTCTGGTGAGGTGCTTTCCTGGGTCCTGCATCAACAAAACAGCCCAGCAGTCTGGAAGCAAGCTCACTTATCCTCCAGGCCTCTCTGGCATCACAGGTGTTTTAACCATTTCCTCCTTGATGTTTTCTCTGATGGCAAAGCTACCCCTAAGTGGTTTTTCTGGGAAAGACTGAAATCCTTGAGAATTCCTTTGGAAATTTAGATTTTGAGAAGTCATGCAGGGAACTCAGTGCCCTGGTGGAGCAGCCTATGAGATGTTCAGCCAGCCCTGGGACTTGACACTGGGGAGGGCCCGCAGTGGGACACAGCTCTGTTTGGAGTGAGGTGTATGGACTTGGCCGGCGGATCAGCTTTTGACTGCCCTGTGAGCTCTGGTTGCAGTCTGTTTATCAGGTGTTCCTAAGGGTGCTGCAGGCTGGGCCAGGGAGGAAGGAGTACTGGGAAGGGGCAGAGTACAGAGCCATGGCCTACTGGGTGCTGCTGTCTGAATCCTGGAGCCCACAGCTGCCTGTAATGATGAGGTCCAAGCTTACTTCACCTGACTAAGCCTCACTTCCCTCAAATATGAGTGGAAGGGTACCTGTGGACTCTCCTAGGTCACATCCCCTGCTAGGACATGCAGTTGGGATTGTGGTCGCCTCACCTTTCTCTGCAAACACTTTGTTAGGCAGTGGGCTGAGCCTGGTGGCTGGTGTCCCTGTGCCTTCCCAGGACCTTGGGGCCAAAGCAGTTTGTTCTGTCCACCCCATCAACATTGGGCTCTCATACACTAGACCCTATAAAGCTTATCTTGGCCCTAAAATTTCCCAAGCTCAAGCGTGGTGTTCACAAAAGTTGAAGCTTGGGGCTCTTACTAGAAAGAGAAATAGTACCTGCACCTCACTTTGCTCTCTTCCTCTCCAGGTCACCGAGGTGGTTATGATCTATGATGCAGAAAAGCAGAGGCCTCGAGGTAACGGCTAATCTAGTTTGTCCTGACCTGTGCCCCTTCCCCCTCAGATGGCAAACTATCTCACCCCCTTAGACACAGGCTAGGTGGCGGTTGTAGGGAACATTGCTCAGTAAGGACAAATTGGAGACCTAACCGCTAAAATGTAGGCTCTCCCCTGCGCAGCTCCATTCAGCCTGTCTGTGCTTCCCAAGGTCAGACATCACACATTGTTTTTGGCTCGTTCTTGTGAAGTTTTTATGACCTGACATGAATTTTGATGTGGTTTCTGTTTTAAATGTCTCCTGGAGGAGTGTGGTTCTGCAGACTGAGCTTCTCTCTCACACTTGTGTCATCCCATCCTCACCAGTGTGGCCAGTCCCACTCATGTGCCAGCTGTACCCACCCAGCTCAGCTTGGAATCCGGGCTTCCCTCTGTCCATCCCATGCTTTTCTCCCACCCCCTCGTTTTTATCCCTTCAGCCAGAGGGGCAGGTGGGAGGAGGGGTGAGGCGCTGCCTCATGCCCTCCTGCATCCTTCCCCAAGCTTCCCACACCTGTATGTCTGCGCTGGTCTGAGTGGGTGAGGGTGCCCACTTTCATCCCCCCGCCTTTTTTTTTTCTTTTTTTGTGGCTGCTGCTATTTGTTGCTGCCCATGTTTTTGGTTCATCAGCTGCTTTTGGACTAGCCGCGTGAGCAGACCTGCCAGTTCAAGGTCTGCGCAGTGGCTCCATGTCACACGTCCCCTCACGCACCATCTGCCTGAGGTCAGGCGGAGGCAACCCCTTAGAGCCAAGCGGCTCTAGCCCGCAGCATGTGCCCGCCATGCTGGAGAATAGTTTGCCATTTGAACCTCCATCCTCCTCTTATCCATGGTTAAGGAACGTGTTGCTCACTTGGTGATTAAGCTGTTAAGTCTTAATTTAACGTAGACATATGTGCTTAGCGATGTACTTAAGTGTTTCATAGTAAAGTACAGTAATGTTAAGTAAGCTGTTTTCCTTTTCTCTCTGTGAATTGTTTGTGATTAACGATATCTCTTTAGATTTCTCTTCTCCAGGTGCTAAATTATATCACACAGGTACAGGCCCGTCCCGCAGTCAGAGGAGGGAGCGGCTTTGCTCCAGTGGGGTGTAAACGAAGTTTCAGTGTGTTTCTGTCCCGCTGCCGCCTCTTGACAGACAGATCGTTCCTAGAAAGCCTGCTCTGGGCTCCCTACCCACGGCCCACCGCCTCTTGTACTGTACACGGACCGAGCCAGCCCTGTGGCTTCAGACACTCCTGATGTTTGAGAAAATGTCAACTTTCTAATATGCCGTTCCTCACCTATGTTGTGTTCCAAATATCGCCTCTGATCTTGTGAACCTCCAGTGCTTGGGAATCTGAGGGCTGCTCTTGGGTGCTCCTGGTCCCAATGCAGCTGTGCAGAGCTGTCCGCCTGCTCTGACTGTGCTTGTCCGATCAGGATTGGAAGTAGCTAGGGTCRCTGAGCCCAGCTGGTGGGAGGCAACAGGGTCTGACATTGAGGAAGCTTCTGGCTGGCATGGGACCCATGTTTCCTGCCTCACTCAGCCATCAGGCTTGGGAATTGTCCCTGGGGTTGCCAGATTATCAGAGGGCAAGTTAGCAGGTCCTCCCAGACAGCAAGTCCCTGTCTTCTTGGCTTTGCTGAATCTTTTTAAGAACTAGTCTGCCTCCCTTCCATTCTCCCTTCTCCCTGTTCCTTGTCTCGGTTTACTTAAAATAGTGGACATGTATGTCCCGGTATGCGAGACCGTCCCTGTGTTCCCAACACACCATCTCCTGGTGTGAAAATTCCTGCTGCTGCGCAGTGGTCCCCACTTGGCCCTCCCCATGTTCCTGACTTCTGGCCTCACACTCGCTCCAGCCTGCTGCATCCGCTCACCTCACATTCCCTTTGTTCTTGGGTTTTTTTCCTTTCCAACCTGTGCTCCCTCCTGTGTGCTTTGCCCTCATGGTTTCACTTTCTCTCCTCTCCTGTTGTGTCCTGACCCCTGTAGGTGCGTGCGGGTGCGAATAGTCATGCTCAGATTCCCCGGGTGCACACATAGGGCAAATCAGAAGACTCCCGAACCTGGTTCCTTTGCTGTGGTCTTTTTCACCTCCAATTCCTGAGCTGCCATTTCTTCCCCATTTCCCTCCTCTTCCAACCCACAGTTTTTGCTTAGAACTTCTCTACCTAGTGCTCCAGCACCACAGTCCATAAGCTTGAGAAGCCCTGTCCACAGTTGCTCCTTACCAGGCCCCTTGCCTGCTCAAACCCTGTGTCCCTTCTCCACCAGCTCGTGCCTCTCTCCTGGTGCACAGTGCTGCCTGTATCACGCTGTCCCTCTGCCATTCGATGCTCTGTAGCAGCCCTGTGACCCTGGCGTAGATGACAGCCTCTATCAACCTGGTTCTTGGCTTTCCCTTGTCCATCTTTGTTCTTCTGAGGTCTTTGGGTAGCAGTTTGCTGCTCACTTCTCAGTGCCCAAGTACCAGGCCATCGGGAGGTAGTAGTGCTCATCAGGCCGCCTCGGAGGTCAATGTGCTCTGCGGTCTCATTCTACTCAGACCAGACAGGAGACTCTGGTCACTCCTACCCATAGAAGAGGAGACACACTCTATTAGCTGGGTGGCTGTGCTCACCCCAGACCAACCAAACTTCGTTTATACTGCCACTTTCTTGTGTTTGGGAAATGCTAAATTGTTTTTTTTTTTTTTTTTTGTTTTGTTTTCCTTTAAAATTTTCTTTTTTGATTACATGGTGCCTCTTGCTCTTGCTGCTGACAGCAGAATTTGACCTGCTGGAACCCGTTGTGGCCTGTATCTTTGTGTATTACCTATTTATTTACCTGTATACATATATGCATATAAACATACATATGTTACCTCTGGTAGGACTCCTTGGGCTTACCCAACAGTGTTGGATAAGCTTAGTGAGGCACTCACTGTGGTAGATTCTGTACTTTGTTTAACGCTTTAGAACGATATATGGCTGCTGTCAGCACTAGCTGCAAAGCAAATTGCAAGCCAAGGGGGAGAATCCTGGGTTTCAGAAAAGCAGAAATGCACCCACGCGCACACCCTTGACTGAGGTGGGTTCCTGATGAGGTCTCCCCTCTCGCAGGGGCAGCTCACAGTCGTCTTCATGGACGAGAGCCAGGATAGTGGCCTAGGCCTTGGACGACAGGGGTCTGTTTGCCTCACTGGCTGAGGCTCTCTGAGATGTGCCTCTCCTCCCCAGAGTGTGCCTGACACAGAGCCTGCGTCTACTCAGCCCGCCCAGTGTCGGGTGGAGACCTCAGTCAGCTGGTGCAGAGTGCAGACGTCGCTGTCTGTCCACTCTGTAGGGTCGATGGCTCCCTTGGGAGCCGTGGCCCTTGGCTGTAGCTTCTCTACACGGGGCTTAGCTGAAACCCTGGGCCGATCCCTTGGTCCCTCCCTAATACTGTTCATCATCCTGTTTTGTGTCACAACACCCTGCTACCTTGATTCACTCTTCGTCGTTGGCTAGGTTTTGGATTTATTACTTTCGAGGACGAACAATCAGTGGACCAGGCTGTCAACATGCATTTTCACGACATCATGGGCAAAAAAGTGTGTAGTTGTAGTTTTATTTTACCTTAAGACCAAACCAAGTCTTAGGCAACTGAGGGATTTCACTGGAAAGGAAAATTCCTTAGTAGAAAAGAGGATCGGACAAGTTCATCTGAGATTGCTGACTGTGAAGTTGGACCTGGTTCTACCATGGGGCCTCATGCTTCCTGAGCAGGGTGGCCATCTGGCTTCGCTCCTGGAGCCCCTTCACTGGGCGGCCTGGGTGGTACTGGGGATGGGAGCACCCTGATGTGTTTGGGCTGGCCTCCAGTGAGATCGCAGTGTTGCCTCAGGCTTGGTTTCAGCGACCACTCCTTCAGATGTCTGCCCCAACCCCCTTTGTGTAATGCTGACCTGTAATGTGATGAGCAAGGGCCTCTGAGATCCGAGGTTCCACTTAAAACTGAAAGAAACATGAAAACATCATGAAGGATTGGTTTTTTAAATTGGGTCACTTACTGTGAAACTCCGGGACCAGCCACATGCTCTCGATAGTACTTATTTAACCACCGTGCAGTCAAGTGACCTCTGGTTGTTTCATCTTCATACTGTGTTGCTGCCACAGCCGAGCAGGGACAGGACGCAGGGCCCCCAGCATTCTGTTGCACAGCCAGTCCTCATTGGGTGGTGTCAGAGTGGCCTCTCACCATGGTTAACCAGGACCTTTAGTGCTTTCTGAGAATACCTGGTAGGACTCCTGTGACATGGAGTGGGCTTCTCAGGGCTCATAAAGGCTCAGGGGCCTGCATCTTTACAGGATTGTCTTGGTGCTTGGAAAGCCTACTCCTTGTGATGCCAGGCCTCCTGGCCTGTGGTTCTGATGTGGCCTTTCATGCTGCATAGCTCCTACTCTCTCAGGTTCTGCCCCCAGGTGAGACCACAGTCACCTCTGGGGGTTTCTGCCCTGCCCATTCTGAAGTCTCCCTTCCAGAGCCTTGGTTAGCAACAGAGGAGTGAGTGGTTGTTTTTGTGTTCCCAGTGACTTAGCTTTGGTTGCAGACTTCATGGATTCCATTTGGACCTAACTAAAGAAGGAGACAAACCTTGTTCTGACATTTCTTGCAGCTTTTAGTTTTAAATTGGCATGCAGATTGCAAGGGGCATGACTGCTGTGAAAAGTTTTAAAGGATTCTGCGTGCAGTGTTTTAAGGTCCTGTGACATTGAGAATTTGGAGAAAGTATAGCCTTGATATGTAGGGCAGGAAGGGCAGCTCAGTACATGTCCCTGTTCGGTCCCCAGGCACCTCCCCTGGGTTCCCCCCAGCCCTGTATGACTTGGCTGCGGTGACCTTGGTGGTACTCATTTTACAAGCTAGATGGTTGCACAGGAGTCCAGGTTGCCATCTCTGACCTTCACTGGTCACCATTGAACCCTTGGTGGGGCTTTCCATTTGTAAAGAGTTTGGGATGCACAAGGTAATTAAAGCCCAAGTGCCAGGTGACGGCATCCCTTGTTCTGATAGGAAAGGGTAAAGGAGTTTTTTGAATGACAAGGACTGCTTTGCTCTGTAGCAGGAATCAAATTCCCATAAGGAGCACGTGTGAAGACTCATTAACTTGAGTCTTTTGAAGCTGCCGGGTGGCCCTGTCATTGCCTTGCCTTGAGCTAACAGGATCTGTTCCCATCACACAGAGTGTCCTTGGGGCGGTGGGCAGGTGGGGGGACTTTGTGCCTCTGCTGCGCTTCCTGTTTGTTATCTCTGAAGGAATTCTGAAGGCATAATGCTTATCCCTCCAGACTGAAACCCTCAAGGTGGACTCATTGTCTCTTCATTATTATTAAAATTTATCATAAAAATAAGAAAGATTTGGGATCCTGAGAGCTGAGGCAGCCCTGGAATTGGGGGGGGGGGTGTTTTTGCTATTGTCGGTCTGCCCATATTTTAAAAGATGCATGAAGCAGGTCAGCCCCTKTGCTCAGAAAAACTAGGTCAAGCACAGTTAGCTCACGCTGTTCTAGCCCCTTGTCCTTGTTTCAGAGGCTGTGGCTCCAGCCAGTTCTGGGGAGAGGTCTGGGTTGCTGCCTAACACAGTATGAAGATTGCTTACTGATTCAAATGTCCATTTTATTGCATGTTTGTTTACTTTTTTTGTTAGATGTAATGTAAGATTCTCTTATCACATCCATTCCCTCTGACATTCCTTTGAGTTAATTGAGATTCTTTAAGCATTAGCCTGGGGAAGGTAAGTCTTTATCTTCCATTAGACATTTTAAATAAAAATTTAAGTCAAAACCAATTGTGTTTCTCAGGTATGCGCTAAAGTTGCAATGGGGTGGGCTCTAAGAGGCCCTCGTGGCCAGTTGGGCCCATGACAGGGCTGGGCATGTGCTGGTCCCTTATTGTCCTGTCGAGGGAGGTGCTACTGTCTTAGCTGGAGTGAGATACTTCTGCGTACACAGATCTCCTGAGGGTTCCTGGCTCCTTCTGCTGTTCATAGCGGGTGGGGCACAGGCTGTCTTTACAGTTGTATCTGTTGTACCTGAGAAACATTTTTTTAAACAAAAAAAAATTAAAAAGGAAAAAAAATTAAGAAAAAAAAGTACTGGCCTAAATAAGGTTTATAGTTAAGTACTTAGTCTTAAGTCGTAAGATGCTAAGTGTAGTTGTAAGTTACTGAGGGTGTGTCTGAAGGGAAGGGGCGCTGGGCTGTAGCTTCTCCCTAAACCACAGCTTGGTTTGTTTAGGTGGAAGTTAAACGGGCCGAGCCTCGGGACAGCAAAAGCCAAGCGCCCGGACAGCCAGGTGCCAGCCAGTGGGGGAGCCGTGTCGTGCCCAATGCCGCGAACGGCTGGGCAGGCCAGCCCCCGCCCACGTGGCAACAAGGATACGGCCCGCAAGGTAAGGCTCTGAGGGCCCTGGAGGGACCAGACCTGGGCTCAAGGATCAACTGGCTGCTATTACGTTGCTTGGAGGGCTATGGGTCCCCTGGGCCTTGGCTTCATGCAACTACCTGATGGGCAGAGCTGTGGGACGAGAGCAGCATTACTCTCTGGGCACTGGCAGGCCTTGCCAAAGTGGGAGAGCTCCCCCTGCCCCACTCACTGTCAGTGCCACTTGTTCTGAGCAGCTGTTTCAGAAGCCCTGCCGAGGTGCAGACATAGGTATAGTCATGGTCCAGAGGGCACAAAAGGCTCTGCCATCTTCCTAACCCTCGGTGGTGTGGTTGACTGTGCCTTAGGTGCTGCTTGCAGTTTGGGCAAGTGGGTCTTCCTTCTTTGGAGTATCTGTTTTGAGATTCCTTGTCTTGTTGCCCATGTGCAAGGGTGTAGGAAGGACTGTGGTGGATCTGAGTGGGCAGTCAGAGGGTCAGATGTGGCCTACTTGATGTGAAGAGTTCTCTGCTGCCTGCAATATGGCAGTTGGGCAGCACTTCCAGGGGCACCATGAAAACCTGCCAGACTTGGGTCTGTGCATTTGCTCTCACCTCCGCCAAGCTGTGTGCCCTCCACTTCAGGGCCCACCAGTAGCTGGTGCTGCCGATAGTGTACAGGAGGTGTTGAGCAAGTGAGCTTACACATGCCTGCCTGGGGGACTTTGTTCTCTGAGCCATGGTATCAGGATTCTGTGTGGTCTCCTCCACACCTTGAGCCTGAGGGTTTCTTTGAGAATTCTCCCTATTGGAAATGAGATGGAATAGGCACGCTTTTCTTTTTCTTTCTTTATTTTCTCTTTTCTTGTGTGTGTGTGTGTGTGTGTGTGTGTGTGTGTGTGTGTGAGGGAGAGAGAGAGAGAGACACATGTGTGGTACTGGGGATGGAACCCAGGCCTTGGGTGTGCTCTACCACTGAGCCCCAGCCCAGCCAGGGAAACCATTTTTTTATGCCCAGTCATGCAGACTGCCATGGGGACTGTCCCTGTGTTCCCCAAGGCTCAGAGGCCATGGAGGTATGTACCCAGTTAGGAGACTGCCACCAGGTGGTAGGGTGCCAGTGGAGAGGCACTTGGGAGGCATACTGATCAGGGGCCTGTGTTGAAGACCCAGGAGACAGGCTTCACCTGGTGCCACCCATGTCCCTGGGCTCTGAGCCTCAGGTGGGGCCGGGGGTCAGCCCCAGTTGGTGGCGCTTGCTCGTGGCAACTTCTTGGCATCAAAATACTGGGAGGACTCGGCACCAACCCTTCTCTTCTGTTTTCTCATCTAGGAATGTGGGTGCCAGCAGGACAGGCAATTGGTGAGTCCTTGTTTTTAGAGAAAGGGAAAGAGCAGAATCCGAAATCCTAGGCCGACTCTCAGAGCTCACGTCTGGTCTTGTCTATGGCCGGTAAAGCCGTTGTCAGTGTCTCTCTGGCCCTTGAGATCATTTCTTTTACTTCCTCTCCTGGTGAGGAAGAAGGGGAGGGGCCCGCTACAGGCCCTGGCAGGCCTGGGTCTGGGCTGTGGCCAGGGGTTTGTGTCTGACACTCTTTGCCCTTCACCCTGCATTGTGTGTTCCAGGTGGCTACGGACCACCCCCTGCGGGAAGAGGAGCCCCCCCACCGCCCCCTCCRTTCACCTCCTACATCGTGTCTACCCCTCCTGGCGGCTTCCCCCCTCCTCAGGGCTTCCCACAAGGCTATGGTGCCCCACCACAGTTCAGTAAGTTTTGGCTGGGCCCCCTGGGGAGGGCTCTCTCTCCCATCATAGCTGGCGCTGGAGCTGACTAGGCCTGTGCTTCATGTGGACATTGGCCATGACACTTGCCCCCAGTCCCTGTTTGGGTGTGAAGSACAGAGACTGCACAGGTGGTTTCCAATTGCCTTGAACCCACTCCTGGCACTGACGGAGCTCGGGTTCATACAGAAACTGAGCCTTGCACCTTGCACCCTGCACCCTTGCTCTCATTCTTCATTTCTCGGGAGGTGAGGTGTCTGGACTTCCTCCATTCTTCTTTATTTAGAAGTGAGGGAAGCTGGGCACAGTGACACACTCCTGTAATCCCAGCAACTCAGGAAGCTGAAGCAAGAAGATTGTGAATTCAAAGCTAGCCTCAGCAATTTATCCACACTCTGCCTCAAAAAAAATTTTTTAAAGGCTGGGGTGTGGCTGAGTGGTAAAGCATCCCTGGGTTCATACACCTGGTTTAAAAACAAAAAAAAAAAAAACAGTAGTGAGGTGTATTTGAGGTATAAAATTTTAGTTCTTTCTTTCTTTTATTTTTTATTTATTTTTTTAATTTTTTTTGTTTGTTTTAGGTGGACACAATATATTTATTTATTTTTATGTGGTGCTGAGGATCGAACCCAGTGCCTCGCATGACAGGCCAGCGTGCTACTACTTGAGCCACATCTCCAGCTCCAAACTTTAGTTCTTAATTGATTTTTCCATATACTTGGCTTTTTAAATCAAAGCTGTAGGTGTAAAATCAGTCGCTATGCCTAGAATGTTAGAGCACTTTGCTCATGTTCTCTAGATATGGTGACTTGGCACCTTCCAAAGAAGGGCACTCAGGCCCCCTAGACAACTGGATTTTCTAGCACCTATTTCTCAGATTATGTCACCTTATCTGACCTTGTCATCCAGCATGAATGTTCTATAATCTGATTTTTTTTTTTTTAATTTTTTAATATTTATTTTTTAGTTTTCGGCGGACACAACATCTTTGTTTGTATGTGGTAATGAGGATCGAACCGGGGCTGCACGCATGCCAGGCGAGCACGCTACCGCTTGAGCCACATCCCCAGCCCTATAATCTTGATTTTTGTGTTGAGTCCTTTATAAGGTGTGTTACATACTTGGGATATATTTCAGTTTGGACCACTCACATCTTGTGGGGAATCAGAGGCCACATGTGGCCAGGTCCCAGGTTGGATAGTTCAATGCTACAGTTTAGCCGTTAGAAAAAGATTTGTCAATTCTTTTTTTTTTTTTTTTTTAAAGAAGAGAGAAACAGAGAGAGAGAGAGAGAGAGAATTTTAATATTTATTTTTCAGTTCTCGGCGGACACAACATCTTTGTCTGTATGTGGTGCTGAGGATCGAACCCAGGCCGCACGCATGCCAGGCGAGCGCGCTACCGCTTGAGCCACATCCCCAGCCCCGATTTGTCAATTCTTGATGTASAGTAATCTAACTTATTTTTAATGACAGGAATTGGGTAGTCTAAACTGGGCATGGTAGCACACTCCTGTAATCCCAGTGCCTTGGGAAGCTGAGGCAGGAGGATCTCAAGTTCAAGGCCAGTCTCAGCAAATTAGCGAGACCCTGCACAACTTAGTGAGGGTTTGTCTCAACATAAAAAGGGCTGGGGATATAGCTCAGTTGGTAGAGTTCTTGCCTTGTATGCACAAGGCCCTGGGTTCAATCCTCAGCACCACAAAAAAAAAAAAAAAAAAAAGAAGGAAAAAAAGGCTAGCACTGTGGCCCAGTGGTTGAACACGTCTGTGTTCAATTCCTGGTACCAAGAAATTAAAGAAAGGAAGTATTGGGTGGTCTGAAGCCCAGCATCAGGGTGTGGGATGGTAGTCCTCTCTAGTACCCTTCCCCCTTTTTTTCTTGGTGCTCTGAGGGTTGGACCTAGGCCCTTGTCCATGTGAGGCAGGCACTATACCACTGAGCCACATTTCCACCCCTTTGCTCTGTTCTGAAAACTTGCCATTGGCCCCTACCTTTGAGACAGCTCAGATGACTTACCTTCCCAAAGCTGTGTCCAGCTGTTCTAAAGAAAGATCTGCAGTGGAATTCCTCGCTGCTTGGATTCCTGCCTAGTACTCTGTCCTGTGGTCACACCATATCACCTCGACAGTTATTGTTTCCTTAGGGTCATGTCCCAGGAGCAAGGATCCATAGTCCCTTCTGTAGGTTTTAGATGGAAATCCCATCTTGCAGCTCCTGTGGGGCTGGTCTGTGGGTCTCCATCCAGCTGACCCTGTGGCCTTACCCCGTGTCTTGTGCCTTGCTCTCTCCTCTGTCTGCAGGTTTTGGCTATGGGCCTCCACCTCCACCACCGGATCAGTTTGCCCCTCCTGGGGTCCCTCCTCCTCCTGCCACTCCTGGGGCAGCTCCACTGGCCTTCCCACCACCTCCATCTCAGGCCGCCCCAGACATGAGCAAACCCCCAGCAGCCCAGCCAGACTTCCCCTACAGTCAGTATGGTGAGTGGTCTGCGCGTCCCCCCAGCCCTGTGCCAGTCTTCTTCCCTCCATGTGTTTCCCACCAGCACACTCTGGAGGAAGCAGCAGCAGGGCAGATAGCCAGTGTGCAGAGGCTGCTGGAAAACTGGTGGCAGCAACGGGGGCCTAGCGGAACTTAGGGGGGAACCTGTCAAGAAAGGTGGTGGTCCCACGGCAGGCGGTCAGGGCCTGTACTTTTGGCAACCAGAGGCTGTGACTGGGTCAGGGGGAGGTGCCTCCTCAGGTCACAGAAAGATGGTGTGGATGTTGTGATCATTGTCCGGGCTTGAGGCTCTCCTGTGTCCTCGCTAGAGGTCATTAGTCAGGGCTATCCAGGCCCTCTGCCCCATGATTATTTGTTTCTGGTGTGTCATTAGGTACCCTGCAGGCTAGACCCCATTCCAGGAGCAGGCTTGAGTCAATAGCAAGCCCTGGCTTAGACAGAGGCATTGTGGTGGACTCCACGGCTTGTCACTCCTGTGGGTGGCTTCAGGGGAGGACACTGGGTCAAGACAGGACTTGGTCTGTGCTTTTCTCACTCTCACCCTGCATGAGCTCAGTGCCAAGACCAGCCTTGTTTGGTACCGTGACCCTTGTGGAGGGAGCTCTGCTCATCATTGGCTCCTCAAGGGACATTTGCACGGTTGGATCCCAAGAATGTGGGCCTCCCTGTCCCAAGGTGTCTAAGCTCACATCCTGAGGAAGGCAGGCCCTGGCTTCTAGGGCACCTGAAAAGGTGCTCCCTCCAGCCCTGCTTCTCTCAGCCTGGACTGAGCCAGAGCCGTCTTGTCTGAGGCACTGGCCCATCTTGAATGACTCTGGAGGGCCCAGGCCCTGGCCTGCATTCACTAACCCCCACACACCCCACCCCCCGACAGCGCTGGTTCTTGGCCCACCACAAGGCCCTGATGTGTCACAGCTGCAGGGGGAGCACGAAGCGCCCGCGGGGTGTGCAAGTGTGCGTGTCTGCCGCTCGCTCCTTGCCTGGCCGCAGTGGGTTAGTCACCCTGGTCTCGTCTCTCGCCAGGCCTGGGTACCTATTCTCGAGACCTGTCGGGCTTCGGGCCTATTCTTTGTTTACACTCTTATGGTCAGGCTGAGCAGTGATGTGGCCTAGGTAGGTGCCGCCTCTTTCTACACGGTCCTCCCACCTGCCTGCACCTGGGAAGCAGACATGGCTTCCTTTGCCATCCTGGGCGGGGGTGGATACTTGGAGGTGCCCTCTGGGACGGGCCCCTTGCCAGTTTGAGGATCTCAACTGAGCACAGCTGGCCCCAGGAGCACCCAGAGCCAGAGGGCCCACCTGTGTCCATGTGTACCCGTTTGGGAACCCAGAGGGCCTGGATGGGTCTTCAAAGTTTATGGTGGGGTGGGCAGGAGCAGGGCCCATCTCTGTCCGCTTGAGGATGGTGTGCATCCCTTTTCCCAGAAGAACCTCCTACACCCCTGAGGCCAATAGTGTAGGTGTGTCTGGCTCTTGTTGAGGCTTAAACACTGCCAAGTTAGACTGTAGCTTGGAGTTCCTGGCTGCCCTGAAGGGAGGACCGTGTGGGCGTGGGATGTGGGGACAGCCTCACAGGTGTGGTGAGGGTTACCATGAGGGAGGTGAGGGCTATGCTCTGCACCATAGGCCTATCCTGTGTTTTAAGTCCTGGAGACCATGTGCAGCATGTGTAAGCAAACTGTAGTAGTCCTGGGTCTCCAGGTGTGTCCCAAACCAGTTAGACACACACCTGCCCCCTGACTTCCAGGTATGTGGGGATGGGGCCAAGGTAGAAATGGGGTGGATCACCAGACCCACGAAGGATCTGAAAGCTGCTTTTCTCTCTTGTGTGGGTCCTGCTCACRTGGTCTTGAAAGATAAAAATTCCCAGGTTTTGGGTCCCTGCCGGGGTGGCCCCACCTGGGTCAAGTCYCCACTGGTGCCCGTGGGCTCCAAGGCCCAGACATCATCACCCTTCCTCAGAAAATGGAGCAGAGTTGCTCAGAAGCAGAGCAAGCAGGCTGGGCTGTGCATCTTGAGCTGACACCCTCTCTCCCCCAGCAGGTTACGGGCAGGACTTGAGCGGCTTTGGACAGGGCTTCTCCGACCCCAGCCAGCAGCCCCCTTCCTACGGGGGCCCCTCAGTGCCAGGGTCGGGGGGCCCCCCCGCCGGTGGCAGTGGCTTTGGGCGAGGTCAGAACCACAACGTGCAAGGATTCCACCCCTACCGACGCTAACCGCAGCGCCACACAACCCGCCCCGGCCGAGACCAGGATTGGAGACTCGTGGACTGTGACAATCACAACCTGGGGGGGAGGGGGGAGGGCAGAGGCTTCGGAGCTGGCTGTGGGTGACTGGACTGAAGTTTTTAAATATATTTCTTTCTCTGACCCATCAGCACAATAAAAAAAAAGTCACTGGTTCAACAACAGGGTTTAAAAAAATGTCTTCAGCTTTAATTAAAAACTTCAGGTTTCTTTTTCTTCTTCTTCTTCTTCTTTTTTTTTTTNNNNTTTTGTTTTTGTTTTTTGTTTTTTTTTTTTTTTTTTTTGAAATTATTTTCCTGAGCCTTTTGTTTTACCGTATATTGTAAACTTTTATGTTAAAGAAAAAATATACATTTACAAATTGTGAGATTTTTAAGAGAAAATTTTCTACGATGTATACTGGCTTATTTTTTAATTTAAAAACAGGGTTCGGTCGGCACTGGTGGGAGGGGGGTGTTTTTAGGTCCCCTTGCTCCTGGCTTGGGGGTTGGGACTTGTTGGTCCAGAAACTCTGGGAGCTAAAGAAATCTACTGAGTGTGTTTTGTTTTTTGTTTACTCCTTGCTTTTGTCGGCCGGCCTGCCTGGTAGCATCTGCAGTGCACTGTGGAGGTGGGTCACTCTTGGCTGGCCGCGTGGCAGCACTGACTTCCGCAGCCTGGACCCTGTGCAGCAGGCACGGTCTTGCAGGAAGCCCACCTCCTTGGCACATGGCTTTAGGGTGTTTCCCACTGACCAGTTTGACCCTGGTTTGAATAAAGAGAAGTGCGTTTGGATTAGAAACCCAGGTCGTGTGCTTTCTTTCTCCATCGCCTGCGCCTCCTTCCCCATCCGGGAAAGATCTGGAGCCCAGACGAGCCCTTGGCCTGGGCCCCAGCTTCTGGCCTCCTTGTGGACTTGGGGGGCAGAGAGGCCTGACGCAGGGATTTATTATTCTGGTGTGGGCCCTGTGGGTTCTGGCAGATGTGACTACAGATGTCCCTGGGCTGTGGGTTGTGAGGCACCTGGCACCTGCCTCACACCAGGAGCCTGGGGCTGMAGCTTAGGTCAGGAGCCATCTCCCTGCCTTGAGTTTTGTTGTATCCTGTCTCTGGCCATGGCAATTGACGTCCATTAGTTCTGGCTAAGGATGAGGTTGCCTTTGGGGGCCTATGTAACAAGGCTAGCTGGGATATGATGGCCCATGCCTGTCATCCCAGTGACTCAGGAGACTGAAGCAGGAGGGTCAGAAGTTCAGAGCCAGCCTTGTCTCAGTAAAACAAAGGGCTGGGGATGTGGGCTCAGTTGTACAGTGTCCCTGTGTTCAATCCCCCGTATCAGTGGGGAAAAAAATCCGAATACACTGGGTACCGACAAAAATGACTTGAGACCGCCAGAAGCCCTCATCCCCAACTCGGTTTTTGCAGGCAGGGAAAGCTCAGCTTGGCTTGGAGTAACCCTGAGCCCTCTAGGGCAGCTGCCCACTGAGCCAGCCCCTACAATGAACCTGGGGACCAGCTTCTGAATGGCCCTCCGTCTACACCACTTGTAATCACATGTGCGAGCACCTTCCATTGAATTCCAGCAAAATTCAAGTCCCTTAGCAAGGAAGTGATGTGCAGAAAGTCAAGAGGTTTCAGGCAGGGTCATGGCTCAGTGGCAGAGCGCATGCAAGCCTAAGGCATTGGGTTCAATCCTCAGCACCACATAGAAATAAAGGCATTCTGTCCATCTACAACTGCAAAAAAAAAGTCAGCAGGTTTCTACCCAGTCAAAAGAGCTCCACGGTGGCACAAAAAAAAAAATATCTGTAGGTGACAGTGCAGCTTCTGCTGTCCCCAGACAGGCCCTGTGCTCCCGTGTAGTTGCATCCCCTGCCCCCATGGGCAGAGCTGCAGGCTCACCCAGCCAGGGCTCTGGGAGGCTTGTGTAGGCGGAGAACCCAGCCACAGGCCTGGAGCGGGCACCTTCCTCCACACACGTGATCTGTGGCTGAAGCTGGGGACTGCTGGACTCCCGGCTCCTTGCCTTGACTGCTGTAGGCAGTGCCTTCTGTCAAGCCCAACCTGTATCCTGACCTTTGCTGTCTGCTGGCCACAAAAACCAGTACCAAGTGGACAGAGGTTCCAGCTTGCCCCAAGCTCAGGTGAAGGCAGGGAAACAGGCACCATAGAGTCAGATGGGGGAGACCAGCCTCTCATTTGAGCTATAGCCAGGTTGTTCCGACTGCCTGCCTCCGGAATGGATTCACACCTGCCATTTCCCTTGGCCTTTTGTTTTCCTCAGTTAATGCTTCCTCTCACATGGTTTTTACTGAGTGGATCCTCAAGRCTTACCACTGAGGTATATAGGTAGATACATACACATGCGTGCCTGTCATCCCAGCAACTTGGGAGGCTGATRCAGAAGGATCACACGTTCAAGACAAGCCTGGGCAACTCAGCAAGACCCTGTCTAAAAAAGTTTAAAAAATTTAGGGGATGTGTCTCACAGAGTGTCCGTGGGTCAAGCCCCAGTACCCCCCCACACCTGCCCCATCAGTAAAATGCACACATAACACTTACCGTCTTTGTGTGTGTGTGTGTGTGTGGTGCTAGAGATCAGAGCCTCATGCTACACCTCCAGCCCGTCACTTTAACTATGTTGGGGGCACAGTTCTGTTGCATTGACCACATTCCTGTCATTGTACACCTGTCACCACCATACCCCAGAATTTCTCATCTTCTCAAACTGAAACTTTCTCCATGAACTCCAACTTCCCAGTGCCCCCCCCAGCCCTGTATCCACAGATCCACCTCCCATCTCAGAACTCTCCTGTTCTGGAGCCATACCCTGTGTCCTTTAGTCTCTGGTTCTCACAGAGCACAAGGTTCTCGAGGTCCATCCATGGTGCAGCGTGTCACCTTGCTTCTGCTCCTGGCCAAGTGACCCTCTAGGTGAGCATATCCCATGCTGTGTGTCCATCCATCCACTTACCGCTTACAGGAGCTTGGGTCGTTCCCACATCTGGGCTGTGGTGTGGTGTGCTGCTGTGAACAAGGGCGTATAAGTGTGTAAGTACCTGTTCAAATCTGATACTTCTGGGAATATACCCAGCCTCCAAAGGCACATTAACAAGCCAGGCCTGGTGGCCATACCTGTAATCTCAGCAACCCGGCAGGCTGAGGAAGGAGAATCACATTCAAGGCCAGGCCTATTTTTGCAAGACCCTGTTTCAAAAAGTAAAAAGAACTGGAGATGTAGCCCAGTGGTAAAGTACCCCTGGGTTCAATCCCAAGTACCAAAATAACATAACATACATACAAGGGGCTGGCGATGTGGCTAATGGTCAGAGCACCTTTGGGTTCAATCCCAGTACCAAAAAATTCACAATAGCAATTCCAGTGAAAGCCAGGGATGGGGGTACACACCTGTAATCCCAGCTGTTTGGGGGGCTGAGGCAAGAGGATTGGGAGTTCGAAGCCAGCCTCAGCAGTTTAAGGAGGCCTTAAGCAACTCCGCGAGACTCTGTCTCTAGATAAAATATTTTAAAAGTGGCTAGGGGTATGGCTCAATGGTTAAGCACACCTGGGTTTAACCCCCGTTTAAAAAAAAAAAAATCCAGCAAGACAGAAACACTGTTCCTGCTTATCTCTATTCTCTCCTCCCCTTATTTTGTGCCTTTCTCCCTCCATCCCCACTTCCTTTCTTCAGTCTCCAATTCCTGGGCCTCAAGCCTGGACCTCCCCAGTAGTGGGGACAACAGGCATCCAAGAACACGTTAATTAAAGCCTGAGTGGTTTCTTTCAGGGAGGCAAGAGCCAATCTCTTCTTCTCTCAGCTGACAGGTACAATGTCCATGCCTGTGCCTCCTGCCACAGGGCCCTGAACCTCTAAATCACACCTGTTCACAAACAGTAGGCGCTGCATTCTTTTGAGATGGATCCTATGGCGTTGATTACAGAGCACGCACCTGAGGTTCAAACAAGACCAGCCTTTTGGAAAGGGCAACTCCGGCCCAAGGCGGCGGCCCCTTTGATACCCATAGCCGGTGTTCTGCCCTCCGGCCGGCAGGGGGCGGCCTCTGCCGCGGGAAGGCGGAAATGCGCGCACGGCCAAGGGGCGGGGCCCGAGGCGGCCTCGCGATAACTTCGCGGGCGCGGGGCGGGGAGGTCTTTTCCGCAGAGCCGACAAGATGGTGAGTACTGCTCGTCCCGGCCCCTGTGGGTCCCTATCCAACTCCATCCGGCCTCCGGCCGTCCCGCGGGGGCCGGGGTATGGCCCCGCGCTGTGACGGCCTGCTCCAAGCCTCCGGGGCTGCGGGTGGGGGCGCAGGACGGTCCCGGTGTGTGAGGACCACTCGGGGCGCGGAAGGCCCCGGGCCCGCATTTCTCGGCTTTGCCCCGGTGACCCGGGTCAAACGTGTGCCCGCGGGCTTCCGTACCGGGGCCGGACGCCCTGTGAGCGCGTTCGTGGGGCCGCGGGGTGGGTCTCGAGCCCCTACTCACCCCGTCCGCGCCCGCGCAGGCGGAAGTGGAGCAGAAGAAGAAGCGGACCTTCCGCAAGTTCACCTACCGCGGCGTGGACCTCGACCAGCTGCTGGACATGTCCTAGTAAGGAGCCGGGGGGGGGGGGAAGCCTTTGATGTAGAGGGCCCGGGTGGGAGTGGGCCGAGGCTCCGATGGCCCGTGTTCCCAGCCAGGCCGCCTTCCCCCGCCCGGTGTCCCCTAGACCGCCTGGTGCAGTGGACCCTGAACTAGAGGGATTCGCCGCAGGGAAGGGCGGGCTGCTCCGGGGCCTGGCCTGGGTATGTCCCTGCTGTCCTTGCGCAGTAGGGGCCAGAGGAGGGGCGTGCAGCCCCGGGCAGCTATGTGGCGGGGCAGGCCACCCACCCGCCGCCTTGTCCCCCGCAGCGAGCAGCTGATGCAGCTGTACAGCGCACGCCAGCGGCGGCGGCTGAACCGCGGCCTGCGGCGGAAGCAGCACTCGCTGCTGAAGCGCCTGCGCAAGGCCAAAAAGGAGGCGCCCCCGATGGAGAAGCCAGAGGTGGTGAAGACACACCTGCGGGACATGATCATTCTGCCTGAAATGGTGGGCAGCATGGTTGGCGTCTACAACGGCAAGTCCTTCAACCAGGTGGAGATCAAGGTGTGTATGGTGTGCCCTGGGTCTGGGTGCGCCTGATGCGCTGTCTGCCCACACACCCTGACCCCCTGCTCTTGACCTCCACAGCCCGAGATGATCGGCCACTACCTGGGCGAGTTCTCCATCACCTACAAGCCCGTGAAGCACGGCCGGCCTGGCATTGGGGCCACCCATTCGTCCCGCTTCATCCCCCTCAAGTAGCCTGCCTGGGCAATAAAGGCACACAGCTCCTGTGCGAGTGCCGCTCATCCTTGTAGTGCCAGGGGTTGGGGGAGGCTTCTTCCCAGAAGGGGCCTGAGCTGGTGCAGATTTGTGATGTCCTTTGGGTTGGATATAAAGGACTGGGCGGGTATGGACAGCGTGGGCCCCTGGTTTCCGTCAGTGGCTCCTGACCAGGGTAGCCCTGCTCACTCCACCTGGGCCATCACCTCAGGGCCAAGGAGGGTAGGAGTGCTGATTGGCAGCTGTCCCAGCCAGACTCAGGCCCTCCTAACCACCTAAATTTGCCCAGAGTCCTCAGATGGTTCTTGGTGGGTGCTCATCATGCTATTGTCCGCCCCTCTGATGGCCCAGGTCAGACTAGGGTCACACCATCCCTTGTCAGGCCGCAGCCATGCTCAAAAAAATGCGTCGTGGGACTCTTGGGGTGGGGGAGCGGGCACAGTCAGGGCTGTGGCGGGGCCTCTAAGTTGGGCTGGTGGGTGCCGTGGAGAGTGAAGGATGGTCAGACCTTACCCTAAGCAAGCAGGAGGTAAGAAAGTAGGTAGGAGGATATAGTGGCCTTGAACAGTGTCCTGCAGAACAGTTCAGGTGGTGAGGGCCGCTCAACCACTACCCCTCTGCCTCCGCATTTCCTGCTGCTGTTTGCAAGACAGACTCAACATTTGAAAATGCTCTTGCACCCCCCTCACTGGGCTTCATAGGGACCAAGAGCACAGTCCCACCTGCCAGCACACTGGCCACAAGCAAGGAAGGCCTTGCTGAAGTGGAAACCGTCATGTGATCCAGCCTCACTCATCTACTGCGGGCTCCCTAAGAAAAGGGGTGTGTGGAGGGGTTTTTTTAAAATTATTATTTCAGTATCTTACAGGTTTAGTTTTTTGGTTCTGGGATTGAACCCAGGGGTGCTTTATCACTGCACCAGTCTTTTTTTTTTTTAATATTTTTCATTTTTCAGCGGACACAACATCTTTATTTTTATGTGGTGCTGCCTGCGCATGCCACACAAGTGTGTTATCACTTGAGCCACATCCCCAGCCCTGCACCAGTCTTGAGACAGGGTCTCATCTTGGACTTATGATACTCTTGCCTAAGCCTCCTAAATTTCTGGGACTACAGGCCACCACACCTAGCACTGATTTTTTTTTTTTTTTTTTAATGGCTAAAATGTTAGAAATAACCCTTTTTTTAAACATTTTTAAGTTGGAGTTGGACACATTATTTTTATTTCATTCTTGTGTGGTGCTGAGGATTGGAACCAGGGCCCCCCACGTGCTAGGTGAACACTCTGCCACTGAGCCCAGCCTCCATTTTCACACCAGAGTGGTAGGGTAGGTAGGAGATCCTGCTCCTGCACGTTTCCTACCGCTCAGCCGCTCTCCTAGAAGGCTTTTTTGGGGCCAGAGCTTTTGAGCCACCAGGCTGCAGGAACAAAAGTGTCTGCTGCATGGAGGGGCTTCTTGTGCATTCTGCCCCTAAAGGGGGCGGGGGCAGCAAGGTGGCAACAGGTCCAGGGGCTCCCTGTGGAGTCGGTGGGCCATGGGCACAGCTGCACTTCACAGCACCAGGGATGGTGAGGAGTTCGTGAAAGGGGGCAGAGAAACAACACAGACAAGAGTGAAGATGCTGAATCCCCATCTAGTGAAGTTAATCATATATCCTTTTTGTCAGGCTCAGAATATTTTGTGGTTACAAAACAGGAATCCTGATTCAAAGAAAGTATTATGTAGCTACAATTAGATAAGAAGAATGTATCTTGGGCTGGGGATGTGGCTCGCCTGGCATGCATGTAGCCAGGTTCGATCCTCAGCACCACATACCAACAAAGATGTTAAAAAGTTGTCTCTCTTTCTCTTTAAAAAAAAAAAGAATGTATCTTGGCTTATGCGTAAGCAAGCATTTGTACTTTCAGTTCGAGTTTTGCTTTGAGCTGTTTCTGCTTAGTTAGCTTTTAATAATAGTTAGAAATGTCCCAGACTATTGGCCTACACCTTGACTATTCTTTCTTGACTTACTAAAAGCGGCACCACAGTTATGGCAAGTGGTTAGCTTGAAAAGAGAGGTTTCTAATTTTAATCAAACAAGAGTAAGAGCACCAAACCATTGTGCACAGGTACAAGAAAAAGTTGCCCAGTACCAAGCACTAATCTCCTTAATTTTTTTTCTCTAGATTTTAATTTCTCAAAAACTTCCCTGTTTTTTCTACAGGGGGTTTCTCATTAAACATTAACAATTTATGTTCCAGCTGGATCCTTGCATTTAGAGCAAACAGATTTATTCGTTAGAAGTAGTTGCATCAATTGGAAAATTCATGTTTTTTCCTTCATACTTAATGGTTATATGAGAATTCGCAACTAATTAACAGGAATACAAAAAACAAACCATCCCGTTCCCGGAAACATACTGCGCTCCTTCAGAGGATGGACGCCTTGTGCCATCCACCTCAGTAGGCCTTGCCTTTGCGGGAGTCAGGGTAGGGGCGCAGCACCATCCCACCGTCCAACCCACACTACTGAAGACTGACAGTATACTGGATTCCTACAGGCCCTCCGTGGCCCAAGTACCTTGCACACTGACCTGGAGGCGCTCCAGCCGGTGAGCACAGTGGTCCCTGGGCTGGTTTGGGATGGCTTGTGAAGGTCACTTTCCAAGAATGAATCACATGGTCAGTGGGTCTGGGGCTTGACTCTGCTTGCCTATCATGAGCAATAAGGCCATTCTTACTGCCCAAAGCTCCATGCTGGGAGCAGAGAGTCCTGGGGTCAGCTTGTGCCCCTGTAAGTGGTGTTCCTGCTGCAGGAGTACTTTCAAGGTTCCTGGGGGTGGGAAGGAGCTTTTGTTAGTTACAAGGAGGCATGTTACTACCCAGAGCCCTCCACCTGCACACCTCAGCCACAGGTAGTGAGTCTTCACGCAGGTGAGGCCTCACAGCCCTGCCCTGGGTCCCAGTCAGGCATTGCTCCTGTGGGGCTCCCATGTTGAGTCCCATGAAGCTTCTCACCTGTTTCCATGCATGGCCTTGGAAGGCTACTCGCAGGGCTCCTTGCACTGCTTGAGAGGCCCGTCCTTGCTCATGTCCCGCTTGTCGGGCACTTGTTGCTTTCCTAAGGGTGCTGTTCTGAGATGTGCCCTCTGTGCCCATCCTCCCTGCCTTCCTTCCCTTCATGGGATCCTGGCTTGTGCAGCGCCCTGCTCCTGCTTCCCTCCACTCGGTGTGAGGCCTGGGCTCCGTTCGCAGCCCTGCCGCCCAGGCGTGCTCCTTCCTCCCTAGACATCCGGACCCTTCCCTCCCATCCCACCCCACTCCTGCTCTGCTCCGGGCGCTCCCCTTGTCCATTGCCAGCTTCCCCGGGCAGGTGTCTACCCTTCTGTTCATCGCACTTAGGGGAACTGCGCACAGCAGCTGGGGTGGTTCTGTTTCCTTTTGGTACTAGGGATCAGACCTCCGGGGCACTTCACCTGGTTTGTCCCGGCATGCTGCGATTACAGGCGTGGGCCACTCACCTGGCCCAGTGGGTGCTTAACAGTTAAGGGACTATTTCTCCACTTGTGGTGTCGCCCCCGTCCGGCGGGCTTTCTCCATACCAAGCGCCGGTTTTCCCAGCCTGGCAGAGTTGGATACAGAACTGTTTGCTGAATGACTAGTGAGCTTGAGCGCTGGTCAGGGCCTGGG